ATTTTCACAGCACCACCTTATAATATATCTGTTGGCCATACCCACTGAAATTCTGCACTCTGGTCTCCCTCTCTGGACAGATGAATCTACTAAATATATGTGTGTGTGTACATACATACATACATACATACATATGTATACATTCATTTTCACATCTCAATGATTTATTGATTTTTGTCTAAGTGCCTTCTTTCTTCTTAATCCCAGAACTGTTCCTCCTCTAACTGGTGGCAATTATGATGTAACACTGAGCTGAATTGATTTCATGGACTGTGATCTAGTCCATTCATGCTTGGCCTTGAAAGGAGAAGTCTCATGGCACCTCTCCTTTGGCCTGAAAGCTGTGGCTGTGGACAGCATATATACAGAGTCCTTCTTACAATCACCTGAATTAGTTTTCAGTCCTTTCTCTTATTACATGTCACAGTCAGTTCTGAGCATCAGGCACAACAACAAACACAAATACCTTACTCTCAAGGAGTTTCTATTCCAGTGAGAAGATAAAGCTGGTAAAATGACACATATATAATATTGTAGGTTAACAATAAGAAAAATGTGAGAAAAGAGTAAGAGAAGATTTCATTCAAATATGATTGCTGCTACAGGCTTCTCTATGGGCTAACATTTAAAAAGAAACCAGAGCACAGGAGGAAGGACTATAGTTATCTGCAGAGAGAAAGTTCCAAAGAGATGGGCTGTCACATGCAAAGTTTCAAATACATAAATATTCATAAAAATGCAAATGAGTGGTGTAGGCTAGAGATTGTGCTGGACAGAGAGGAAGGTGATGGAGCCTCAGACAGAGAAGGGTGTACTGTGCTTCACTCTGTTCTCCTTTGCTCTGCAGCCACTGCCTTCCTCATCAACAGTGTCCCTCTTCCTGTCGATAAAGTACCCTTACCTTTGGACAACGTTATTCCCTTATTTGATCCTTTGAAGATGCTTCTGAAAACCCTGGGCATTTCTGTAGAACATCTGGTGCAAGGGCTGAAGAAATGTGTGGATGAACTGGGACCAGAGGCTTCAGAGGCTGTAAAGAAGCTTCTGGTAATTACAACTTGGATGGGGGAGTTCTTGTTTTCATGGGATAAGCCTTAGCTACACAAATGCCCTCTCATTGTTAATACATATATTGTTTCTTCTTCCTTGATAATACTAATGAAATATGCATATCCCAGAGACTCCAAAAAAGCAAAATATCTGCACTTATGGTAATAACATTTGAACAGTACAAACTGTGATTTTTACCTAATTGCACAGCCTAAGGGGCACTGAGTCTTTGCTTCAACATTAGCAAAAGGTTGTCAAATAGAAAAGTGAATGTGGATATATTAGAAAGTTGCAAATTATATGTAAGCTAGGCCTAGAATTTTACCTTTATATGTTATTTTTCAGGAGGCCCTATCACACCTGGTGTAACATCTGCATAAAGACTGAAGGCTGGAGTGGACAAAGAAGGATGTGCACATCCATGATGGCTGAATCTCATTCTACCATTTGTAGACTGAATGTCCCAAACTGTAGTGGGCCTAGAAAAGAATGAATAAAGCAGTGAAAATATTTGTTGCTCAGCTTGTGTTCATTCTGGAATTTAACATTTAACTAGACAATTTTCCTCTTGGGTCACAGTGTGTAGAGACTCGGTTATTGGATGGATAGTCTAGCACATGAAGGATGTACTCATTACATTCTTTTACCTGTATAACAAATATCTCCACTATCCACCATTATTTATCTAGTGGTATTTCTAGATTCATCATCTTCTTATTCTCTCATTAAAATTGCATTTAAAAATGAAAAAAAACAAGTAATGTTCAGTAATACTACTACCATGTTGATATAATGCAACTCCATAATGCCAATTTATATTATGTCTGTACTACATTAAGATCATCCAATAGCTTTAATGGGGCTTATCTCAAGTTAGGTCTTTATTATATAATCCTTAAGCAAAGTGTTTATAAACTCGTTATTTCTTTTGCTAAATCTAGTATCTGCAACAACATTGAACTTGCCTTTCCAAGGCAGAGTCTTTGCTTATGTTATGGTCACTGGCAGGATAGATTTCAACCTTCTGTGCACAGGGCTCTTTTCTCACATGTCTAATTTCATTAGTATCATTTTTATGTATATACTGTAGTCTCAGACACATAAAACTTTTAACTGAACCCCTTTAATGCTAACAGACTATGAAAAAAAATAAATTCTTTTTTCTCCCTATGGAGACTGTTATTGTATTCTACATCCTTAGGCCTATCACAGTCTTAGAACTATTTGCTGTCAGGCAAATTTCTTTCTTCTTACTCTGCTCTATTTTCTGCTGAAGGAAGACAGCAAATAGCATGTTGTTTGCCACAGATTAGGCTTCTGTGGGTCACAGGTCAGTGGACTTTGGGAGGCCCGGAGAGTTGCCAGGCATTGAAGAAAGAATAACCTACTGTGAGAGTAGCTTCCTTTGCTTCCCATTGGTGGAAGTCTCTAAAAGTTCAGGCCACATGTCCAAGGTTCTGTGTTCTAGTTGTTAGAACTGCAGCAAATCCAGATTTTGCCAGGAGACTCCAGTCTCTGGACTCTGATTTCCTGATTACATATGTAATTTCTTTCTCCAGCAAAGGTGATTGGGGCTTTCCCTCTTGTCAGTTTCTAAGATGTGTCTCTGATACTGACAAAATTTTAAGTTCTGTCATCCACTCAATCAATTCTAATATCTGAATCAACTCCTTTATATAGTCCAAGGACGTAAGAGTACTACTATTTCTTAGTTGAATTTGACTAATACTATAATAATAGAATACCTTGTTTGGCTGACATTGTTTGGATATTTTTCTTTTTCTTTCTTTTTTTTTTCTACTTCTTCCTTTCTTCCTTTTTTCCCCTCCGGATTTTGTCTGGACTCAGTATGGGTTTATTTCACAATAAATCCATTGTAGATAAAAAGAGAACTAAATATTCCAAGCCTACTGAACATTGTAGCTTAGCTTCACAAGATGCTGTGGAACACTAATATATACCTTAGCCACCATGTAGCTGTCTGGAAGCCATGGCTTGACACCACAGCCTGGGATGATCAGAGAGAATCTTATTGTTAATGTTTCTATCTCAAGTTCAAAATTTGAACTGCCATTTCTACAGAATGCTTTTATACTATTGTAAAGTAGAAAACTCATGAAGTCAGGACTATTTGTAGATGTACCTGGTGAAACTTCCTGTTTCATTTTCTCATCTTATCCAAATCTGTAATAACAGATTAGATTGCTAACTACAGTAATAAACAGTCTCAAATCCTAGTGTTGTATGCATACAATATTTGACTCACATTATATGACCAAGTTTGGTTGACAATAGTCTACCACACATTATCTGAATTCTTTCTCCAGCATTTTAGACCAAAATAGTAACAGAGAAAGACAAATTGGTGAAACTATGGTCTGATTCTTAAAACTCTTAGTTGAGGGGAAAGATCATGAATTTAAGAGGGAATGGAGATGAGTGAATATGGGATGATTAGAGAGGGTAACAGGGGATGATGTACATACACTACACATATATGAAAATTTAAAAGTACTTTAATTTTTAAAAGCTATCTGAATGTGGTACATATCATTTGCAATTATTCTTTTTGTTGGCCAAAATTGCCTGATCACTACTAACATATTTTAGAAGAGATATAGTATATAGTTCCTCAATAAGAAGTAAAAGTATCATACACATTTGAATCAATATAACATATTCCCTCACACTTTAAGGTAATTACCTGACATACTTCTATTATATTTAGAGTTTTGTGCCCTACCTATTTTTAATTTTTTCTTTCTCAGCTAATTTTTTTCTATTTGATCATTAACTTCCAATTTCTTTAAATGGCCCCTATTTTCTGATTTTTACAACAACTGTCCTAGGATTCTAAACTTGAGTCCTCCCCCTTTACTTCATATGGAGTCTCAGCATACCATGATTCTAATTGTTTTGAACTTTGAAATCTATCACTGGTCTTCATCTCTTTTTTTGAAAAGAGATTTTGTTATTTTGTTACTTGTCTGACAACTAACTCCAAAAGATGGCCCTTCTAAGGTTCAAATCAATAGGCCTGCATTTAAACTTTCTGTCTTTCAAAGCACAGGGCTGACACACCTATGGATCCACAGAGACTGTAACAGCATGCACAAGACCTGCATGTATTCAAACTAGAAACAATCCTAACATAGAAAAGAGAAAGTGGACACACAGTCCCACTCGTAGCCAAGAATTGATTTGAAATTGAAACATGCTGAGAAAGGGAAAATTGTTTCTCACCAGTGAAATGTCAACCACATTTCAACACAAGCGTCACACCCAGGATCCCAGGAGACCATGAGTGGGTATGTATGCTAGACTCCAGGGCTGCCGTGTTCACCTTGCTCAGGAATTCAGTCTTGTCCTCCTGAACATATTGGGTAGTTGTGGGAGCTTCTGTCTGTTAAGTGGGGACTCAGCTCCATACACTGAAGTGGTAGTGTGAAAAGGGGCTGCACTAGCAATTTAGACACTCTGCCTCGTCAACACTTTGATATTCTAGAAGACGAACATTGGCCATGGAAGAGAAAGAGACACTTGAATGAAAAGAAGAAAATCAGTGGATAAGTTCTGAGTTTACTGACACACTCTTTCTTTAAAAAATTTGTAAAATATTGAAAGGCCATATATCTTTAGAAATTAAGAAGTTAGTTTTTGGAGCAAGAATCAAATCCTCTGTCTACAACATACTGGCTTTTTTATTTTAAATGTGTGACTTCGTCTTTTAGAGTCTGTTATGATACATGCATATTGTATATACAAGGAAGTCTTGAGCTTGTTTATGTACATATGTATATGTAATGTATAATATCATATTTTTAATTAAAAAAATAAACACACCAGGGAAAAATGCCAGGAACCACAAAAATCTCTGTAAAATCAAGTATGTAATTCTATAACTCCAACAGGATACTTTTTTCTGACTTTGTAGAAGGAGGAATGCAAGGTCAAAGAGCTCAAATGAATTATATTTGTCTGAAAGTGGAGATCCAATCCTGGTGACCTGCTGGGAGCCTTGAGGTCTCTGGTTCTGGATGACTTTGTGCAACAGAACTGGATGTTCAGGATCTGGCTGCCCTTGCTTTGTCCAGCTGCCAGATGGGTGTGGCCTTCAAAACACAAGTAGAGAGATGTGAAGAATTGTCATTTTTCCTTAAAAATCAAGTGAAGACTTTCTACCTTTTTAATGCTTCTGTGCTTTAGAGCATGAGAGGATTTACAATAAAATCAACTGTTAAACAGACTTGAGAAAATAATGTAACAGAAATAAACAAAAACTCAAGGTATACAAGCAATTACTCAGCTCCAAAGGTAAGGATGGAGTGTGTGCAGAACAAACTTAAGGATAAACAGAGACATCATTGTCTCGGTGACCTGAACACTTGTCAGATGGAAAAGACACAGTAGTCACATGCATCTTATGATTTGAGGAGAGCAATTTGGCCTAGGAGAGGCCACTAAAGTGGCCCAATTTTAATTCTGATCAGTAGTTGTATTAGAACTTTCCAATTAATTTACTAATTTGTAGGTATGACAAAGCAAATCTAAGCACAAGACTTTGTGTTTCTTAACCAAAGTAATGTGAATAGAATTAATTTAAATTAATTAAAAATTAGTAAAGGGCATTCTCATCTACTGCTTCTTCTAAAGACCTTAGTTAGCTAGTGAGACTTATCTCTTCTGGGAGGGGGAGGAAAGGCAGTTTATAGCCAAATATGTCAAATGATTTAAGATATAAAAAGGAACAAATTGAATTCAAATGGCTTCAAATAATTCAGGACAGTAATCCTATGAGGATTGGAAGTCACATCAGTGTAGGGGAGGAGAAGTTGGGAGCATTTCATATTAATCAGGTGTTCAGTTGCTGGAATACTATTATTTTCTGATATCTGTCCTGCTCTCTCTTCATCCCTGATACTGTGTGTTGGCTTAGCACAGTTCACCTTCTTTGTAAAGCCTTGATCATGCTCACCCGTCCTCCAAGGGTTCCCTGTTTCCCTACCCCAAGACATTCGCCAAGCCCTCCCATAGGTACCTGTCATTTACATGCATGTGATAGCCCAGATGACAAGCTTCCCAGTGGCAGCACTGACAAAGTTAACATGCAATTTGAATAGATTAAATACTCACTAAAGGACTGTGTAATTAAAGTTGATATATGATGTAAAAAAAAAAACATTGCTAAAAGAAATGTAGGACACCTATGGATCCTCTATCAATTATCTTTAATAGTGTATTTTAAAAGATTTATTTTATTACTTATATGCATGTATATGTCTCTGCGTGCACATGCATATGTTCAGGGAAGCTAAAAAGTTCTTGGTTTCCCTGGAGCTGGAGTCATACATTTGTGAGAGGCCCCACATAGAAGCTGGGAAGCAAACAGGTCCTTTGAAGGGCAGTAGGCACTCAAACTTCTTAGCTAATGCTCCAACCTATCTATCTATATATCTTAGTTTAAGAAATAAATAGAAATATGTTCACACTTTCTGAGCTGGAGAAAGAGACATTGCTGTGAATCACTTAATGGTAAAGTAATGACTTGCTTTTGATGAGATAAGACAATTACCATAGAACCGAAACTTTTCAACTACCCATTAGGAGTTATCTATAACTATGTTGTGGTCATTTAAAGAGATGTTCCTTATAAAAATTCTATTTATTTATTCATTTTTTACAACACTATAATGAACCTTTTTTTTTTTATGGATCATTACGGCATCTAGAGTTCATTCAGAAATCTGTTTTTTTTTTTTTTTTTTTTTTTTTTCAAGACTTTTAAAGTGAGTAGCTAAAAAAGAAATCCTTACATTTCATTCTGGACTAATTACAGTTCTTTAGTGTTTCAAATTCAAAAGGAGAGAAATGAGGCATCAGGAGGTGGAGCCAGCCATCCATGGAGGTACAGACAACAGGTGTCCACCGTACAGGTTGAACTTGTACCATCATGCTGCCACCTGAGCATTTACTCCTCCATAATGCCTCATCTACTTTATTCCTCTTACGCCGAAGCCCAGCTTGGCCCTGTAAGAATTTGGGATATGGGCATACATGATTACAGGTGTATGATAGGAGCCTGAATGAAGACAAAGTATTAGGGCACTTGAAAATAAGAGGAGAGTTCTTCCCTGAGAAGAAGATGGAAACATGAACACACAAGTGAGTGTTTTTAGAAGCTTATCTGGCTTTGAGCAAGAGTTGGAATTATGTGTGTTGGGAATATCTTGATTACAATGTCCAGGCCTTGTTTCCACCCTTCAAAGATCATGAAAGAGTAGGCTGTGTTCTAGCATAATGTAATAGTGGCTTTCTGAGCGCACATTGGCCACACCTATATTATGAAATGGAGCCAGTAGAGAAAAGGAACTTTCCCAGCTCAGATAACAACAGAAGTTGGGAAAGGCCATGATTTCTGGAGGTGTACATAAAGCAAACCAACCACCCAAGAGGGAAGTGTTTCAATTTAGCATGCATCATGGCTTAATCATTACTCTCAGCTGCTTCCTCACATGTCCTTCTCTGCTCTCTAGTAGTGACATATGGCTTAGATATAGGACGCATACCCTGGCATGAGACTTAGTTCCAGCCTTTTTCCCCCTTCCTTATTAATGTGGCCATAGCAACAATTGTTCCCATGCCTTCCTTTCTTCATTTGGGAAACTTAAGGAATGATGTTTGTCTTCCAGAGACTTCACCTCAGGTATATATCCAGAACTTAAAAATGGAGCAGTAACTCATTTCAAGTCAGGTACTGATATTGCTTTTCAATGTCTAAAAATGTTTGCTTTTATCTGTCAACCCAAGCTCTTAGGAAATAACTGAGTAAAGAAAAAAAGGGGGGTGGTGTTCTGGGAATTAAAACCATATGGTTTGCACATAAACTAGATGTGTCTATGTGTTCTCTATGGATTAAGAGCAGCAAATTCCTCTCTTCCCATGACTGACTAACTGTGTGATTACATGATTCCTTAGATATTTTTAATTGTTTAGGTGTGCACAACCCTCTTGTTTCATAGGTGCACTGGTACAAAGCAAGCTAGAGTTTGGATGTGGAATATTCCCCCAATGTCCTTGGTGTGAAAGACTCGATCACTAGCTCAGTGCTGTTGGGGGTGGTGGAAAGTCTTCAGCCTTGAGGGTGTGACCCAAGGTGATTATGGGACTCTTGTTTCCCCCTCTTTCTCTTCTTGGCCATGAGCTGAGGGGTTAATGGGCTCCTGCTACGATGTAGCTATCACCTCACTATTGTCCCAAAGCAGTGACACCAGTGCATTGGAGAAAGAAACCTTGAAAATCAAAAGCCAAAGTAAGTGATTACTTTTTATAACCCGATATGTCAGACATTTGTAGAGGGGACAGAAATCTAGTAGCAGGTTCTAAGGATGACTGTAGCAGGGACCAGACCTCTTCATCTGCATTGCTCATTGTTTCATACCACACTTGGCTTCCTCCCCTAAGAGTCCCCCAGTAAGTTGACAAGTAAGATGATAAAAATATAGATATTGCAGTATAACTTTTAGAAACAAACTACAGTTAGGACAAAGAAGGAACAACAACAATGAAAACTTATCTTTCTGGTTATAATTATGTATGAGTTCCAGAAAAATCAATGAATACAATTATCCAAACCCCTGTTTTCTGTGTGTAAAATGCTATTCTTTTACCTGTAAAGTATAAGTTAAATTACCTTAGGATGTCACTTTTGAAGGTGGCTGTCCAGGGTCCTCATCAAGTTCCATAAAACTTCTTGAAAAAGAGAAGAAAAAATTAAAAAAAAGACAAAAACAAGAGTTATGCAAATTAATGGGAATATTAGCATGATCGCACAAGCATACTGTCTCATTTCCTCCTTTTCTTTTTTAATTTCTTTAAATTTAAAATTTTTATTTTATTATATGTTTTAAATTGAGTCTCAGTTGTTCCCTAGCTAACTTCACACTTGTGATCCTTCAGCTTCAGCCTGGCTTACAAGCCTGTGCTGCAGTACCTAGGACTAAAACTCCTCATAGTTGAGGCATAATTTTCTTCTCCAGATTTTCCTATATGAAAGTGAAGTAAGACCCATGATTTCCACAATAGTTTATAGTTGTCAAGATATTTGTGCATGATTATCTCTGAACTCAGTAAAAAAAAAAAAAAAACCTATGAGTTAGTGGTCCTTTAATAGAACCCCATAAGTATTATGCATTTTATATATATATATATATATATATATATATATGTACGTACATATATATGTGTGTGTGTATGTATATATATATGTGTGTGTGTGTGTGTTTGTGTGTGTTTATGCTAGCTATATATAAGCATATATATATATATATAATGCTACAACTTAAAATGGAATTTAACACAATATGAATTTGAGTTTGTTTTACTAATTTTTATAAATAATTTGCAAGTGAAAAGAAGATAAAACCATATTTTCACAACAAATGGCTGATAGACTGCAAAGCTCAAAGGTGAACTCTCTAGAGTGATGATTAAATGTCAGACACACTACCCTCTGTAGCTCATAGTCTGGGAAGCAGGTTAGGATTTGAGAAGATGAAAGATGATGCAAATATGGTTTTATGCAAATGTATGTGTTTTTAATAGATTGTAGTCTAATGAACAACAGGGACAAATTCAGGACAGGTCATTTAAAACAAATATGGGGACATCACACAGATTCATATTAAGAATGAAAACCTGCTGGCAAGAAGCTTCATTTGACTGTGAATGAAAACTCTTGAAAGAAATCTATGTCTTCAGAGACTGACTGGCTGATCAGAATTGTGGAGAGACTGGAATCTTACAGTTCCAGAGACTAATTACTTTATCTTGAGCTGGTTCTCACCTTCCAGAACAGCCATTCCTTACCACCCACACTTCCCCACCCCACCTCATGTGGTAACTATTGCCTTGGGACAGTAGATTAAAGTATTTTGGAATCTTTTAATTTAGAAGACCACTAGTTTCTACCATTCCAAAAACTAAGAATGTCATCAGATAGCATCTGGAGCCCATAGAACAGATTCTCCCATCTCAATACACCTGTTTCTGTTACTTACACATCAATATTTTAAAAACTTGTCTTGATTTATGACTTTCTCTGCCCTGTAACATTATAAAAACTTCATGAAACTGCCTTCATGTGGGAGCATGGAATTTGGGATAACCTAAATCTGTGTTCCTGGGCATGGTCACTCAAAGTGGCTTCAGAATAAACCATCCCCTTTTGAGATTTGCTGTGTAATTGGTGGAAATACACGGAAGAGTTTCAGGAATGATAATGAATGAGCAAATTCATGGTGTTTTAGTTTTGATGATGACATGAACAAATTTATATATAGCTATATTTTATTTGTCTATTTTTAACTATTTAAATTTTAGCTTACATTTCCCCTAAGAACTTTCCTATGGGCATTGGCCCCATTGCCTACTCTGGAAATAGTCTTTGAGATTCAGATAGAATTTATCTTGCTAGTCATTTGTAGTTTTTCTTGTATCAGTTCATGTTATCTAACCACAAAGACTGAGTATTTTTTAAAGAAGGAGTTTACAGACTAGATCTTGTCTTTCACTTACATCCTAAAGTTTCACATATTAAGTAAGACTCTGGCAAAGCTGTTTCTGGAAGCTTCCTCTCATACAGCACCTCCAACAATACCCATGGTCTTCCTTTGTGAAGGATTTCTGTAATATGTTTTACATCCTGACTCCATCCTCAGCTACATTTATTCACTTGAACAAGAAATATTTTGCCTTTGAACAAAAAGATCCTTTAGGTTTCCATAGTTGATTTGAAATGCACGGGCTTTAGGTATAACCTCTAAGTTCTTTTCCTTAACTATTTTATCAAATGAAAAATTACTTATTGATTGTCTGACACCATGGGAAAGATGCTATGATATTATACTGTACTTCATATTTTAATGAAATATGAATAGAACTTCCAGGTTTGGTAGAACTTTGGAGCCCAGCTCTGAAGCTGAGCACCGGATTAGGTGTGACTTTCACAGCAGAATTACCCACAAAGCTTGTTAAAAATTACACTGTTAGCCCTGACTTTGAGTAGCTATACTATGGAAAGTAGGGAGACTAACTCAAACATAATTATCCACTGTATTGTGAAACTGGTAGGAGTTATAGTTTTGCCAAACTCTGCTTAGGTTTCTTGGTAAAACATTACTTAAAATCAGCAGTTTTCAGGGGTACAGACTGAAAAGTATGAAGGATAAGGATAGGTCATGTCAAATCTAATGAGTATGAAGAAGCAGTCTGGGAACATTAGAAAGATTCTAGTGTGTATCACCCTTCATGGTGGCCAATGCACTGCTCCTGGGAGTTCTGCACATTATGGGTAAAGGGAGATGATCAACTACTTCAACTAGCCCTCCTGAGCTACTCATACTAGAAACCAAATACAGGACTCCTCACATTCATTGTCAAGACCACAACTTGTCTTCCATTTCTCGGTTTTGCATCCTTTTGCCCTCCTATTAATGACCCTGAAATTTAAAAAAAAAAAAAAATTGTGTGAAGATCTTGAGGGAGCATTCTCGTTCTAGAATTTGGGGAAATTCATTCATATGTAAAATGTAACAACATTACATTTTATTTTTTCAAAGAAGAATGAATGCATTGGTTCCATTTCTTTTGGTTTCATGAATGTGATCCATATCTACAGTGAGACTGTCAAAAGCAAGCTTAATCTAAGTACTTACGATCCCCTGGACATGGACCGAAGGATGAAATCCACTGCATTCTCTATGATCTCTGAACCCAAGAGGCTTAAAAATTTGGGGAACTCTGGCTCTGGTTTTTTACTTGAGTCTTCTGGATTGTTATCTGATTTCTCATCTGAATTGTCATCTTCCTTTGGTTTGTCATCTGAAAAAAAAAATAAAATAAACAGGAAGGCTTTTCAAATGTAATTCTTAGCAACCAAAACAGAAATTCTGTTTCTCATGTAGGAGCTATTGAGCTCCTTGGTATCCACCTGGTACCAACTCATTAGTCACATCTTCCTGTTTCTGAGCATCCAGTCCTGTCTGGCTGAAGTCTTTACAACATTATCTCATTATTACTAAAAACAAATGAGTAACAGACATAAGTATTTAGGTAGATGTTGGCTACATTTGGTTACCAAGAAAAGAAACAACACACAGAGGTACCTATTTTTCTTTTTGTAAGATTTTTATTCATTCCTTGAGAATTTCATGCACTGTATTTTGAGCGTGTTTACTCCAGTGCCATGCCCAACTCCTGCTTACCACCCTTCCCACGCTCCCATCTTTACCATCCAAATTTGAGACCACTTCTTTTTCTTTTGTTCTCTCCCCCATCAAGTCCAGCTGGTGTTTCCTAGATAGTTTTGGAACTTGAAGATTCCAGTGTCTGGTCAGTCTATCAGGGTGAGGTGTTAAAGACAACTGACTTTTCTCAGTAGTGATCAAATACCAAGAGTTCCTCAGCTAGTGCTGGGTTTTGTGTCCAGCCCCACCCCTTTTACCTGTCTTTGCAGAAAGATTTATTGTCTTGAACTATATTAAATAGTGTAGATGGAAAGTCCAAAACTATCAGTTATATTTCAAAATTAATCAATAGGTCTGTTTAAAAATGAACCTCTTTCATGCTGAGATTTTATTTTGCTGGACTTGTGAAGGTCTTATGTATGCTGTCACAATTGTGTGTTTATATGTGTATCTACCCTGCTGTGTTTGGAAAACAATGCTTTCTTTAGGTTATCAACTACTATCCTTCCAAGCCCTTTTCCATGAGGATCCCTGAGCCTGGGAGAATGGTGATATATGAACCTGCAGGGCTGATCACTTCACAGTCTTTTGTACTCTGCCTGTTGACAATTGTGTGTCTGTGTACAGGATGTCTCTGTCATTTACTAGAAGTAGAGGCATCTCTGAAGAGGACCAAGAGATGCTCTTATCTACAGGTACATTGCATTACACTAATGTCAGTGCCAGGCTTGAGATATAGAAAACTTATTTGTTCATGCATTATAGGACACTACTGTTTCCATGTGATTTATGTGCCAATGGTAATATAAATAAGGAAGATAAAAATCTTCATGGGTTGTTTTGCTGTGCACATATCTCTAATAGGTAATTCACATGAACTATGTCATTTTATTGTCATGATTCTATGTGTTAATAAAATTAATAAGCCAGTTTACAATTGAAGAAGTAGAGTTAGACAGAGATTCCAGAGCTGTTATAAAGAGAAAGAATTACCAGGCCATGTTTGTCTGATACCATAATCTAGATTATTATTATCATTACCAAAGTCATGATTGTCTGATACCATAATCTAGATTTTTACAGTATTCTGTGATAAAACTATGTGCTCTTTGCAGAAAAGGCATAAAACCTGCACTTTATTTATGAGAGTGAACAGAAGATAAATGACAAATAAATTCTGTTAGATTTGTAACACCAATAACTCTACGAACAATGATTTGTACAAATCCTGTTTAATTTTTCTCCCTGGGTAATGCTTTAAGATATGCATTTTTTTTATCATATTGAATGGGGAAATTGATAATATTTGGGAACCAAAAGGCTGTGCAAAAGCAAGAGAAGAAAGTCTGGTGACTATAGGACTCATAACCTTGTCCTTCATCCCTTGGGTATTAATGGTCTTCATTTTTATGAAATGAAAAGGCCTGGGAGAGTGGCATAAACTACAGTGTGCTGCCTTCTCACTGAATACTGACAATAAGATGACAATAGTTTTTTATTTTATTAACAGAAATATGGTGCCACCAGACTCTACATAAAAAATGCTGAGTGCCTTAATCAATTTCAATTGAACATCACATTATTTTTACATTAAGACTGATAAATGCAATAGGTAGAATTAACTCACAATAACCATAATTCATTGCTTATTTAAAAATTCAAATTTATATTAAAGTCAGTTTTAATTGTTTTATTGAGGTATCTACAAGTGCTTGACAAAATTAATTTTAGGAAATTCCATTTAAGTCTATTTAAAAATTGAATTTATCTTGCCCTTGTTTCTAGAAGTTTATGAGATTTAAGATCAATGCTAATCATCGTTTGTATAAAAGTGATTTTTCAGGATACATCTATCTTGTATCCCCAATACAACTTTTGACTCATAAGGTCTCAACTCCTTGGCACTATTTCCCCACACATCTTTCAGGACTACCAAATGATGAAAAAGTGTGGAGGTTTATGATTTGTTCTAAAATAGAAACTATTAGTAAAAAACATATTAAATTTTGTTTTTACTATGTCATAATCAAATATTTGGTAGACTCTTATTCTGAAGTTGAAAAAGATACTAATTAAATATTTATTCATACAACAGTTGAGTTTTTCATTTTTTTTTGCTTTGGTTTCTTACAGTGTAGAGTGTATACAGAACCTTTTCATTTGAGTTAAACTAAAGATGGCAAATCTTACATAGAGGTAGCATGACTGAAGTTCCCAGAATGGGTTTATTTTCATTGTGAGAAGAAACAGATGCCTTTTATGGAGTACCTGCCAAGCAGTACTGGGCTATTAAATCTTCACCGACCTGTATCCTTACCCCACTCAGTGATGGAGTCAAGGTTTCCAGAGGAGAGCAAAGATGCTCTGGGAAATTAAACAATCCACCTAAAGTCACTCAGTACTGAGCCAGTGAATGATTTTGAATTCTGTCTAACTCCAAGGAGCATGGTCTTCACCTCCACAGACTGGTTCTCCAAGGACACTGGCCAAGTGTAATGCAGAATGCCCCTGCACAAAAGAAGAGTCCTCTTTTGCAACTCATAACAGTTTTACTCACTTTTAATGTAATACTAAACACTAGCCTTTCAATATTGGAGGATCCAGGACTAGATTACAGGACATAGGGAATTAGTCTGTTTTTGGTCCATATTCATATTCATATTCATAGAGTCTAGTGTGTGGTATGCCACATGGTTTAAGGTCTTACAATCTGATTTTGTTTTCAACAAAGTGTTAGTCATGTACTTTTGCAAATCACATTTAACCACTGTCTTTTAGTTTATTCGTTGTGATGTTGTTAGGATGAAAATTATTGATGTTTAGGTAAAACTTAGGTAAAAAGCAAAGCATTTATGTAAACCTTCATTAGACATATATTTTGGTTTGATTAAGCTGGTATTTGTAACTACTATCAAGAAAGCAGATTAATAGGAGAATAGGACTCAACTGATAGTAGAATTTTGACATCAACATATTAAAATTTGACTTTACAGTAAAGTCTTATCCTTTACATACTTTGAATAATTTACCAAGGTCATCCATGACTTACTTTGTCTTTCTGGTTTTCTATTCCATTCTGGAATCAAAAATAATTACAAAAGACTCTTATCATAATACTACTAAATAAAATAAACATGCCATTTTCTCTGGTTGGTGCAGATTGGTAAACTAAGATTGCAGAAGTAAAGATTTTTCCAAGGTCAACTGGGTCCAGGCACATCTCTGAAAATGACCTATAGCTCTGGTGAGCCACCTGTGCTCCTGTTTAGGAAGGTCATGGAGCCCACACTGTATTGTCTATAACCACTGTCTAGTCCACAAACAGGAGGATCAACATGGAAGAAAAAATTAGTGTTTACAGGTGAAGTCACCCTCAATCAAGACCTTTGACTTTTTCTCAGAAGTTGGAACAAATCGTAAAAGGAAGACCAAATGATCCAAGAGTTCCTTGCAATCCCCAGAGATCCCTGAGGATCAGAATCTCAACTAGTCTTGAAAAAATGAAAATTATCATTTGTGAGCATCTGCTTGGTCTTATACACCTGACAAGAAAGTACAACAAATGTAAAGAGTAATGTGAGTTAACTGTTCAGAGAATCACACTTGCAGACATTAAGCTTTAAGTACACGTGAGATGGTACTTAGACAACCATGTCTCACTAATACTTTACTCCTTGGTGTGGGAAAATGTCACCCAAGATGGAAGACATCAGGATGTTGGCTCCATTTTAACACTAAACTGTCCACTTGCAGCCAAGAAAGATGGGACCACTCCAATGTTGTTTTCAATTAAAAAGCATACAATGATTAAATTTCTTCTTTTTCTCTCCCTCTCTAGAAGTCATCAGGGAGGAACCTCACACTGTCCTTCTAGCCACTGAAATAGCTACGGAAAGCATATTCTGAGTTGATCAACTCTTTAGCCCAATCCAGAGGGCAAAAGTCAAGAGTAAAACAAGAACCAGACTGATTGGATGCATGCCCCTGTGAGCCCATCAAGATATTCTGGTGGGTTTTGATTTGGGTATTTTGAATGTATCTTCTATTTTGGCTTCCCTTGATTCTTTGTCTAGGGCTAGCAGTGCTAATTACCTTTTGTCTTCTCTTTCATATATCTTTCTGGGCACTAGTCAAGGACTTCCTTTCCTCTCTAAATGTGGCTTTATTGAAATTATGAATGCTCATTTGGGGTTTTGTAGATAGACCCACTGAAGTGGTACCCTATCTGCTGTGCCTAATGACCTCTTTCAGCTATAAGAACCCAGACAGAGGAATTTAGAGTTAGAGTTCTTCTAGGTCATTAATAATGAGAACAGGAGATAAAAATCAACTAAGCAGTTTAAGGCCAAAAAAACAAAAAAAACAAAACAAAAAATCCCCCACAAAAACAACAACAAAAAACTCCAAAACCTAAAAGTACTCAATTCTTTCTCTGCTAAAAGCAAGAAATGTATTTGTGTCTCTTAGCAACTTTGTCTTTACCAGAAGTTAAAGATGCTGGAAGGGTTTGGTCCCTGATATGGCTCCTAAATGATTCTAAGGTTAATGGGTCATATTATAGTAGCAATGAAGATCCCTTAATGTAAGACACCTTTGGTCAAGACGATAGAATTTCTGGCCTGGGTGGATACCTAACATTCCACTTGTACCAGATCAATCACTTGGCTATGAAGGTGAGTTCCCTTTAATACATGCCCCAGAAATGGCTGGAATAAGTTTCACTTTACAGAGACATCGTACTTTTTTTTCTCCCAGAATTCCCACCCCTCGCACAGTTGCTTACCAAGTTCCAGCCAGGCAGCTTGGTGAGATGGCCAGATAGTCTGAAATATGCACTTTCCCTTGTCCCTTGGGTTTTTCTGATACTTCAGGCCTTCAACTCCTTTTCTTAAGCTGCCTTCCTGTCCTGCCACCATGTATCTGATCTCCACACTGGTAACTCAAAGAGCATTCCTTATTTTTGCTCAGCTGAGATGTACAAATTGCCTGGGGTGTTTTTCTTTTAAACTCTAATAAAACTGTCCTCAAACTTAAAAATAATTCATTTACACATGATAAGATTAACATGTAATATTTATTTAGTGATTTTTATTGACTGGGCACTATTCCAAGCTGTTGCCTCTTTTATTTTAATTCCATGGTACATTTGTGTGACTGCTAGCAATTAATGTTCCTTATTTGTATCACATATCACATCTAGAGATATTTGATATCATGCTCCAATTTACATTTCTCTTTAGTAGTGGAACCATTATAGAGTACTACTGAAAATTATATCTTCATCAACATAAAACACTCCACAGACACTTCTCAATGAATTTATAATGTAATAGTGTCCCTTCCTTACTTAAGAATACAAGAAAGGTGTCATTCCAAACACCATACATTTACTGCTGTTGGAGGATACAATCAGAATCAAGTTCAATAAAACTGCTTTCTCTATTAGATGTGTTTCCAACCTCCCAGCCCAATGTTCTTTCTGTGATACCAAAATGTCCCTCCCTTTTTATGTTCCATGCCAGCTCCCGCCCATCACTGCTAACTAAGGCAGAGTTTCTTCTGGGCTGTAATCAGAAACACTTACCTGCCTGGCTTGTCAGGATTAGAGCACACAGTCCTAGGACAACTGTCAGTCGAAAAACTGAGAGGGCCATTCCTGCTGTTCTGGGTATTGGTGCAGATAAATTGCTTGAGTGCACTTGAAGCTTTGCTCCATTTATAGGGCAGCTGTGGTGACATCATCTGCTGTGGAAATTAGGCTGTTGCACAAGACGTCTGCACAGCTTGCTTTGCGATGTCCACCAATGAGCTCGGTCCTGTTTTTTAAAAAAATCAAAGCAATTCCTTTTTTTTTTTTTTCTTTTTAAAAATCTGCATTAGCTTACAAAGGATTGGGTTTTGTTTAGGCATTTTCCAGACAAAATTTGCCTTTGTCATTTCTTCCCCCTCCCTTCTCTAGCTCTTCATTCTCACTGGTTGCACGCCGAATAGCCTCCTATCAATTTTAGTCACACGCGACCGTTTGCATTTCCCCCACTTTCTCTTTACTTCTACTTCTTGTCCCCCTCTCGTGGCTGCCAGTCTAGTTTCATAGTTCACACCCCCCACAACTGATCATTTACACTCACGTAAACATTAAAAGCTAAGATTTTCTTATGAGGCAAACCACGTGAATTTTGTCTTTCTGAGACTAGAGGACCTTCTACTTTCCAGAAACCTTGTCATTTCATTTTTTTCCTTATTAGGCTACATTTCATCATGCAGGCTTATGTGAATGGAATCCATCTCCTAGATGTTGTCAATAGTACAGCAGCAGTCAAGATGAGTGTACACTAATCTCTGTGCTAGTACATATAGTCTTTTGAGTCTATACCCAAGAATAGTGCAGCCTAGCCATGTGGTAGTTCTATTTTTAATTTTTTGGAGGAATGTCCATATTGGCTTCAACAGTTTACATTCCCACCAACAGTGAATAAAGGATTCTTCTTTCTCCATAACCTTATTGGCCTTTGTTGTGCTGGTCATAGCCAAATTGACTGGGGTAAGATGGAGTATCAAAGTGATTTTAATTTATGTTTGCCTTATGATTGCTAAGGGTATGGAACATTTAAAATATGTATGTCTTGTTTTTTGTGATTCATTTTCTTTTCAGGATTATCTGTTCATCAGTTCACTTATTAAGTGACAGTTTTGTGGTTCAGGGTGTTTAATTTTTGCTGTTCTTTATATGATCTGGATGTCAGCTTCATCTCTGAGGTGTAGCTGGTAAAATGATTGATAGTAGTTTCCTAACTGTGCAGAAACACTTTAATCTTATCTAGTCCCATTTGATACTTAGGGATATTATCTGTGTTATTGAAATCTCATTCAGAAAGTTCTTGCCTATACCTATAATTTCAAGTGTATTACCTATGTTGTTTTCTGCTGGAACATCAGCATTTAGGGTTTTAAATTCAGATACTTGATCAATTTTAATTGGTGTTTTCTGTTCAGGGTGAGTAAAGTGGACCTGAGTTCATAGATATCTGGTTTTGCTGGTACCATATGTTGAACAGATGCTACAGACATGACTTGATCTCCTTCAAAATTCCAATGAGTTTCCTCACACAACTAGAAGAAAACAATGCAAAAACATATTTGGAAACAGTAAAGGCCATGCAAAGACAGAGCATTTTAAATTTATTGATTATTTTAAGCAATAGTTCTATTTATTTGAGAATTTTATATAATATATTTTGATCATATTCCTTCTCCCACCCAGCTCCTCCCAGACCTCCCCCACATCCATACATATCCAACTTTATTTTCTTTCTCTTTCTTGAGTAAACAGAAACAAAAGACAAAAAAAGCATGGTGTCCAATTTTTTCTGGCTGGCTGCTCCTGAGCAAGGGGGTGTACCCCGGTGTATGGTTGATACACCTATTGTTACTGCACCGAAGAAAACTGATTTTCCCTTTCCCATCAGCTATCAATTATGAACAGCTTCTCTTAAGAAGAATGCATATTTCTGGAAGTATCACAGTACCAGATTTCAAATTATACTGTGGAGTTGATAAATTCAACCTCCCACTGGCACAAAAATAAACATATAGGTCAATGTCTCTCTCCATGCTTGGTGTTGACTTCCCATTCACAGATGGGCATGCCATCCCAGATCATGTTCCTTTTCTCTACCCATATGCTTTGTTGCTGGGATAACTTTTCAATCATCTCTCTTTAAATAATTAGAACTTATTCCTCAGGTTTGGGTCCAAATGGCCATACTCTGTAATTGTTGTGATATCCATTGTACCTTAATCTTTCTATATCTTCTTCCTGCATTAACTGCCCTTACAACACTTAATTTCATTGCCCAAGAGTTAATTACTTTAATTGTTCTCTTCCTTCATCCTGTGGATCTGTCTGTCTATCTATCTATCATCTATCATCTTTCTATTCATCTACTCATTTACCCATTATCTATCTATATGCCATCTACCAATCTATCTACCCTGTTAGCTATCTATGTATCTGTCATCTATCTTCTGTTTTTTTCTAGTTATCTATCTATAAATAAAACATTTAATAAAAATAGATACATACTATCAAGGTTTTTCAATCCTTTCCTTTCAAAGACCTGACATTGATCGTCCTTAAGTAAAAGTTGTTCTGCAGACTGTATCTCCCACTAGCAAGCCTTCATCAAGCTAGCATTATGCCATGTGTCTCACTGCTTATGATGGGGCTCTGTGCTTATATTGTGGGTCACTGGGAAAAGACAATCCAGTGACCTCCATTAACTGTGTGATAGATTCTGGCATGTGGCCATGTTTGCTGGAAAAAAAATGTGAGAACATTCCAGAGTGGCATGCTTTTTTAATGGACTACAGGAAACAAAAGCATTAGACATTGTAATTTATGATAGAATTTGGCTGGCTTAGTGGGAGATCAACAAGACAGAACAGGTGAAACCCCATGTGAACTGCTTTTATTAGTTGGGTAACAAGAAAATGGCATTGTCCTAAGTATCAGATTGCTAGCACCATGTCTACATGTAGAAGACAACTAATAAATATATAATAAATAAATGAAGTAATGGATATTTTTGAGAAGGGAAACCTAGCACTGGATGCTGCATGTATCTCTGTCAGCTGGTGCCACTCTGAGCTCTGGCTGCTCTATCTGTAAAATCAGAACATAATGTTTTCTGACCCATGTCTCCATAGTACTTTAAAAGCAATGATGAAATGTCTGATAATCTGCACAGAGCCTGTCATGCATGCCAGGCTAATAGCAGTTGGCCAGCTATGCCAGTTGGCCAGCCACAGGCATAAGCAAATGAATTTGACTTAGATACAGAGAAAAGAAAGAGGGTTTTACCCATGCTCGTAAAAGGAAGCAAGGGATCTTTTGTTAGAACACATCTCTAACTTGATTAAGGAAGTATGCAAATGAAAGGACTATGCTTTAGCTCCCATGAACATTGATGTAGTCCTCAGTTTCTCTCACCTTGGGTTCAATATCTGAAAAATAAGAATATTTATATTTCTTGTCATTGTCTATAGTTTTAACAGGAAAATATATGTGGGCAGGTAGCAACCGTCTTGTATACTCTAAGGGAAAGTAAATGATGGGCATATTCTTCTTTCCCCTCTCTTGCCCTTTTCTTCCCTCAACCTCCTCTCATCACCCTCCCCTCCTCTCCTCTCCACCCTTCCTTCTTTCTTCTCTTCTGTCTTGCCTTCCCTTATATTACACTTCAAATAATCCTATCCCACCCTTTCCCATCTTGTTCTCATGGACTGCCCCAGGAAAGAAGTGATATTTAACCATGCAAGAAACATTGAGATTCAGACTATTATTGCTAATAGGATACTCTGGTCACATGATAAATTAGATACAAGACATAAACAAAGCAGCCTAAAGCTGCCATTATTATCTTTATTTTATATAATCAAATACAAGTTTAGAAAGATTAGGTAGTTTTTTTTAAAGGTCACAAATTCTATATTAGACAGAGCAGGGGATTGGACTCAAAGTTGTGTGACTCCAAAGAATCTTCTAGTAACCATGACAATATATTGCACTGAGCTGCACTGGCAGAGACCCTGGATCAAGCAAGGGGAACTGCAGTCCCCAGCCTAGTTCACTAACTCTACATCTGCTCTGTTCTTTGTATTGACTTCTGCGGTTCTTAGTGGCCTCTGGAGGAAGTGTTGGTCTTCTGCATCCATGTTTGGCCTCACTTTGATATAAAGGATGTGAGGTGCCCACAGTGCCTTCTTAATTCCTGGCAAAAGGCAAATAGGAGATGAAACTTGCGGACACCATGTGATAACTAACTACACTGAAGAAGTGCAAATGAGAAGTATATTTCACAGAATATAGGTATATTAACATATTGTTTGAGATAAAATTGGTTTTACCTTTTTAGCTAACACTGAAATTTAATAGGAAAATCCTGTCTATTTGTGGAATCTGGAACTATGCGTGGTTATGCCCTCATAAATGTTTGCATACATAAAATTTTATATCATGGAGTTATGTAGAGGACCAAAGTACATGATAAAGGAATAGTATATTAAAAAAATGAGTAATGTGTGAGGAGCTCAAATCGTGCATGACACTAGATGCTCTTTAATAGGATTCCCTAAGAGAATCCTTCCTGGAGTAGATTTACCTCATTAATACTGCTCAAAAAGTCACAGGACCCTCACATATTCCAGCTCCATTTCAGATGAGGTTTCAGACTTGCCCTGGAAGGGATGTTTACAGCTCAGGTGAAACTCATTCTTCAGTTACAGAGGAGTGGCAGCACTCTGTCACTGTAAGACCTTCCTGTCTGTGGCTTGTCACTTAGCCAATTCTCATGACATAGATTCATTCATTATTTATTCTGTGTACATTTTTGAGCTTGTATTGTTTGCCATGTATTCTGCTTTGCATTGGGAAATATATAGCACTAATCCTATTTTGCTTAAGGAGACAAACTTTAACCCAAGAAGTTCCATTAGCTATAGGAGTGATAGATGCTAATGGAGTTGTGGCAGATTCCTACAGGACATTAATCAGCAGGGTGTGAAGGATCATGGAGGGTCATTTGGGTGTTGAACGGTAATTATGTGAGTGTTGGCTATGCAAGCAAGGTATAGAAAAGACACTTTAGGCACAAGGAATGAAACACATGCAGGCAGAGCCTCCTGGA